TTCAAGTTGCTACTGGCCCCAGTTGGGAAGCTACTGATTTTTGAAGCAGACGACGCAGTGACCTGAATCAACCATTTTCAGACTAATATTTATTCGATTGCAAAAAATCAGGATTCAGCTGAATTTTCGAGAAATTTTTACCATTTGTAAAATAAACTTTCTTCTAAAGACTGTGTAACTTTCAAGTTGCTACTGGCCCCAGTTGGGAAGCTACTGATTTTTGAAGCAGAAGACGTGAGCTGCGCTGCGTGAAACAACAAACAACAAAAACAACAACTGAAACTGTTTTTCGCGTTTTTAGACCAAATTTCGAAAAGTTTTCCATTAATTTAGAAAGGCGTCAATTTGTAGCTTATTATTAGTCCTAGAAACAAGTGAATCCCAACTTTTTATGGAACTTAACACGATCTATCCACAGATGTGACTAGATTTCGGTGCATAAATAATAACGGTTTTCGATATAAAGCTGCTATTTCGAAAACATCTAAATTGCTGGCGAAAAAAATTTTTTTTAACCGTTTCTTGAATAGTTAGATATGGAAAAGTTGCGACAAATCGACCTGGGTAGGTTCAAAAAAAATCTCGTCTAACCAATCCTGGCCAACGAAAGGACCTCCATTTACTTTGAGTTGCTCCAATTGGGTTCATCTAATCACCCAGTTTGCAAATTCCAACTTTTCCCTCTCGGCATTCCGCGATTTATATCTTACTTATCCCCAATAAATAATAAATTCAATGGATGTCTGATACTCAGCAGGTGCCAAGGCAGAATGTAAACGAATTCGAATCGTCGCATAACTTCTAACTTCTAAAGAAAACACGTTTCACACTGTTAGAGATGCATCTACGAGGATACGCAGATTAATAATTGCAAAGTCGCTGAAACCCCTACCATAAATGGATTATTTATGCAACCGTAAATCTTACCGCTTGTTAAACTGTCGCCAGGAAAGCGCACAGGAATATCTTCTTCCGATATGTACTCCTCCATGTATGATGGAAAGTTTCCGGGATAGGTGAAATCGGACCTGATGTTCTCCCATATCGCTTCGAATTTGCTTCCGAAGCTTTTGCTCAGATTTTCTGCAAAACATCGCAAGCAAACGCCTTTGAAATATCGACCAGAAGAACAACCAGCAAATGGTCTACGTACGCTGTGATGGCCAGATATCGACTGAACTGTTCCAGATATTCAGGTCGATGTCATCGATGTCGGGAAACACGATGATGTCTTTGGCTATGGGCGGTGGACTTGATGGACTCAACGGCAGGAAGGCGCAACAATGGTAGGCGTACGACAGTATGAGAGTTTGTATTCTGGGGAAATCTTCCGGCGGTGGAAACTCGCGCAAATTCGGGTTGTTGAACGTCTTCAAATGGAGCAGCTTCTCGAGCCCCGCCGAGGGCAAATGTGGGAAGACGTTGTTACCCAAGTTCCTGCAGTTTAGACGATTTGATATAAAACAGATAGGGTAAACTATATAGCCTTGGCATATATTTGCCAACAAATATATGCCAAGGCTTAACGTAGCAACAACGCTACACATAGAAACTGATGATGGTGGAAAACACCGAAACGTATTTTAATTGATAAATAGACGATAAATGACTGAAGCCCAGGAATTGATTTTGATTTGGAGTTGAAACACAGTCAGGAAAGTATGTACTATATAGTTATTGGCACTTTAAGCAACATCAGTTTCTATTTCTATGATCTAAAATTTAAAATAATAATTTATAGCAACCCCTATTGCACAACAGATTTAGGAATAAAACTATTTAAACAAAATCCTATTTTTCAATACAAATTTTTCAAATAAATCTTGAACTTGAAATACTAAATTATCGCAGTTATTGGCACATAAAGTGACAAAGGTTGACTACGTTTGACAAAATTATTTATTTAAATTTGTGTTGCAGGCCTTACAAACGAATGTTTTCACATTTGGTGGCATATTGGAATGCTTCCTTGAACAAGTTAAATGGTTTTTCCGGCTACAATAGAAACATTTAATGCCATTATACTATGGAGTAATGTTGAACGTGCAAAGAAAACACAAACCCGAAACTACTTGCTGATTATTTTCAAAATATGTTGATATATCGCAAATATCATCTTGATCAAAACGG